CATACAACTGGGCTTGATTACATGAACAGACAACCGACCTCGTTGGTTTCGTGTCACTCGATATTATAAAGAAACTTTCTGGTCACGAGTCGCGACATGGTATTTCCGGAAACGTTTTCCTAGACCACGTTTGTTCGTTGGTTCGCTCGTGCGTTACTCTCTTCAGAAAGGAAGTTCGTGAGGAAAACGCGCAAACGAGAACGCAACGACAATTTATTAACGATCACGGCGTCCGATAATTATTTCCGTCGTGAACATGGTCCGGATACAAGCGCGCGTAACCGAACGCGTTCATAGCAATGTCGCGAGAGATTTTCTCCGTTTGGAATCGGGAGATTTGTCGCCGGTCGAGCGTAGAGTATTTACATGAGCGTTGGATCATTAACGCGGTATATAGTCGCGTTGTCCTCTCAGCGTCACCGATGACGCGCCACGTTGGGACGCGACAAGAGCGAATTGGCCCAACGTAATTGCTATAATTTCCCAACGCGTGGAATCTGTTGTTGCAACGTGAGCACACTGTCCACCAAACCTCGAGATACCTGCCCCGATAGAACTAGCAAGACAATTATGTCGTGGACCACGGGCAACGCGCGTGCACGTATGCGTGCACACGAGGCATCGGTAAAATATATGGCACGCGTGTGTCTCGACTGTGGCGATCGAAATCGACGAAACGATTGAATTTACCGAAGATTCAGCGGTGATCGTAATTTTCAATCGCAGATTACGGATCTGATTGCGGATTAAGCGATACTGCCGGGCTATTTGATTACCGGGTATATCGGAAATTGTACTAACAAGTACGGTCGCGACGAAAGCAATTTATTGCTTGATCGGTGAAACGATATCGCGATAACGAGCGTGGTTGGTGAAAGTGGTAGGGGGAGAGGCTTTAATTCATTGACTGCCGTTGATAACTCGATCGAGCTCGTTCTTTCGAGTTTTCCGACTCGTCGAATATATTGAAAGTCGCGTTTCTGCCCTAACGATAAGTAATTCCACACGACAATATTTTAACATAATTCTGTTTCCCGGTAGCAATTGAATCCTATTTTAAGAATGAAACAGGGCCAGAAGAGCGATAAAACACACGTCCTATTTGGCGTTGTTCCTCAGACGCAGCCATTTCAATGCTGCATAAGCTGCACGTCCAAGTTTCACGGGAGAACCGCGCCAAACGATCACCTAAGTGGAAAACATGATTGAACAGAACATTGTTGCTTACAGGAAATTTTCTGATTCATTCCGTGTTCCAAGCCCATTCACCAGGCTGCGACCATAGATCGCGATACGCCTTGTACGATATCGCTGGAAACGACTTTAATTTACTCGATGCAAGGTCCGTTTTTTACCGTGACTTTAAAACGTTCCAATACAAGGGCAGCGGCGCGGCGTAGCTTCGTATATCGTATAATTGCACGCTTACGTACCTCTTTCTCGAAAACATTCTTTCGCTCGTGTGGGCTTAGCCGACCTCCTTCCGCCCATTTAAACTTCGTCTCTATTCTCCACGACATTTACCCGGAACGGACATTGCGTAAATAATTGCAACGCGCGTTGCATAATGAAGTAGCTGTATGGAATCGAACAACTTATGTAGTACCGCGTGTTTTTGCTATAGCATGACACCCACGTGACAATAAACACGAGAATGACAGTCGATGGGAAGAAAAGGCCACACCACCGTGGGACGCGTGCAGCGTGGAAACGACACTCGTATCGCGATAACGTATTATAACAGCGTACACTTCCTGATTTTTTCAATACTTCCATGGGGCAGTGTGTGTAAAATGTAAACGCATGAGCAGAGTTGAACGTTGCATGCAAGAGGATATATAAAACGTTTCTTAGAAACTTTCGCGAGCTCTTGAAGAGAATAAAATGAGAGTAAAATCAGTAATAAAAAGAAATATTGATTTAAAAAATCATGTTCTAAAATGCTGTAAATAATAAATAGTGTAAATAAAAAATACTGTAGGTAAAATACTGTTCTTGATACATATTGGATATATATAATAAAAATCACCATCAAATACATTGATACATATCCATAAGAGCGGTGGTTCGTTTGAAAAACTGACTAATCGAAACAGAAGTTGAAATTTTCATTTAAATCGGTGCAGTTAAATCTATGGAGGAGGCATTGTCGGACTTCTGAATGGCGCAGACATAATTCGTATAATTGCGGAACACTTGCCACTCATCGTTCGCCATTCTTTCGCGATAATATGCAACGTTCCGCGGTATCAACCGCGCTCATACGTGAATGGCAATAAACAGTCGGTACAATGGCTGGTGGAACAAGAAGACAATTGCGATGCATAGGGACACTCACGGAAACGGAACACTCGTTTCGCTAGCGAACTATTTTCACCAGTGAGAACCATGTTTTCTGCATACTCTCCGTGTTCCCCTTTTCACTCTTCCTTTCTGTTCTTCGTGTGCATCGCAAGAGGAAAGCTAGTACACATTGACAGGTTTACAATCGTGGTTGGTTCGATCTGATTTGCTTCTGTCGTTCAGCACGTACTTCGAACGCAACAGTAACCTCTGTGAGTCTTCGAATCGAGAATTGTGAGAAGAGGTATTGTGCAAGTATAAGCTGCACACGATGCAACAAAGAGAGAGTGTAAGAGTAATATGAAGGAGGAAAGTCCGATTTTCCAATCGGTCGTGCGTCGACTGCCAGTAAGGGTTACCGAGGAGAGGAAAAGATATGCTTCCCATTTCCGATGTGGCGGCGGAAATTGAAGAAGTTGCGCGAGACGACAGTGGAAAATATTTATTACTCGGCCGCAGATACTTTTCTTGACTTACGAACTGTTGCGGTTTTTCAGGTCTTTCTCGACTCAGGTTTGTGATACCACATCATGGCATTTAAGAGATAAAATACGCGTCGAGTCTCGTGATTATTCTTGAAAATTAAATAACATACAATATATACGAAGAGGTAAAGTTTCTGACAGTATATGTATAACAGATTGTGTTCTCTTTTGGTGTGGTGTTGCAATGGAAGATTAAAACGACGCTAAGCTGGCAATAAAGAGTAACGTTATAGCCGAGCCAGTTTAAATTCCATAGTATCTTATTCCGAACGACGCGGATTCCCCGCGTGCTGAGACAAAAGAGGGTAGTTGTTAGCTATCAGCGTGCACAAGCAAGACCCTTCCTGTCCTCCTCTTCTCTCTGTTTCGCTTGGAAGCCTTCACGCTAAGCGCGAAGGCAATATCGGACTGAGCTTTTCAAAGCACGATCGTCGCGTTCTCAAAGCGAAAGAATGGTTCTTGTTTCTTCCAGGAATTCGAATTTTCTCCTAGATTCACTGCATTACATTTTAAAGCAGTTCCATGTCCATTGCAAATGCTGATAGCGGAAAGACAAGAAAGAAAAGAAAGGTGTAAGAAGATCGAAAAAGAGCAACGAAGGAGAAAAGTAAAGAACGAAAGAAGAGGAAAAGCCGGAAGGTTGACCAGATCGTTAATAAAAATCTGGGCGTGCTAGAAATCTATAAGAGTCGAAACGAGCACCGTCTGCTACGCTAAGTAACTTTGACAATATCGTTCTTTTCCTGAGTTCCTACACCTGCGCCCGGCTTTTTTATCGCTAAAACAATTTCTTGTTTTTGCCATCCGGCTCCCTCACGCATGTGTCCGCCCGCTAAATTTTTTATTGCAAACGTTTTATATTCTATATCCAATCAGAACAGGCTACAGTTGCCACGTTAGTTCGAATCTTTCACGCGTCGAGGATAACATAAATGGATATTCTCGAGTTCTTCCCTTCTTTTTTCCCCTCTCCGTTTTACTTTCCTTTTCTTTCTACCTCTTTGTACACTGTATTTTCGTTCCCGTGTACGCGTCCATCTGAAACTTGCAGGTGAGACGAATGGCGAGTCGAAGAATGTCGGAACAAAAGGAGGCCAGAAGCATAACACGCGTGACTCGTTCGAGATCACGGCGCACGGTTACGCAGGTACCGGCCGGTTCACGTGGCTGGTAAATTAAATTCTAATAAAGCTCGCCGAAACGGGAAAGAAAAAAGTAGTCGAGTAGTGGTCCACCAGTGAACAATGGCGTTGGAAGGCGTCGCAGGCAGCGCGTCTTCGGCCGACACGAACCGCGGATAATTATATCGAGACGGTGACCAGGAATTCTCGCAGAAAAACTTGTCTTCGGTCCCTACGGTGCTCGCAGTGCCGCCATGGGACGGTTAACTAACTCGCCGGCTACGTCGCTCAGGTGGTAGGTGTGTCGCTTTCGAAACGCGTCGGCCCCGTGTAAAAAAGGTGATCGGTGAAAAAGACGGCGCGGCGAATAGTTTCATTCCTCCTGTTCCCTGCGGACTTTGCCTGGTAGCACGGTTGTCTCTTGTCTCGTTCGGAAGCTTTGATATCTTTCTGCGTTGGTGAATAGAACGGGGACAAGAAACCACGCAAGAAACAGGAGTGATTCAACGTTATTAATGAGAGATTCGGTTAATGTCTGATGTATGGAACGTGCGAAAAGTTTACAAGAATGTATAGGATAAGGTAGAGTTATTTGAGCCAGGAAGATATTTGAGTCAAGCTGCGCAATTTGCTTTGTAATCTACGTTTGAAAATAGATTATTATTAAAAATGAGTAAGTGATACAAACAATCTCATGGTTGATTTGTTCGAATCATTTTCTCGTTTCTAACATTTTCTCTGATTGCAGTTAATATGGCTACACAATATTTCCTCATTCTTTCGTTATTACGTTAAAAGCTAATGGTTTCTTGTAACATACGTCAAGCTTGATTATTTTGTGCAAAGTTCAAAATGGGATTTTAAACTACTGAACCTTAAATGAAGTTAGTTAGTTAGTATTACTTGAGAGCTTGGAAAAGCTTGTTCGATAGAATTTGTTCTCCTGTAGAAGTTCTTCTCGGAAATGATTTCAATCTTCTTTATAAATTATTCTAACGTTTTTACTATTGGATGGATAAGAAGTTTAACTCAAAATTGTTACTCTTTTCAGGATCGACACGTGAAGAATTCTAGCAAGGATCCGCAGATGGACTCCAGCCAAGACTATTCTCTGCTACTAGGTTACGAGAACAAGACGCACACAGTTCTTCGTTTCAGCAGACGATACGATACGTGCGACCCGCGGGACCTCAAGATCACGGTAGGTAGTTTGATTTATATGGCTTCCGGCGTGAAAGATAATTTCGCGTAGCGCGCCAAGTGCTCGCCTGAGGATCGTTTGACAGATTTACGAGAAAAATTGAACAGTCGAGCATGATGCCAGCCGGTCGAGGAGGAATTATTTATCGCGGTTCTTTAGGAAATTGTGCATCGCAGCTATATACAGTGTGCTAAATAATTAATCCCTTCTGTTGGAATGGCAAGCGTATGGGTATACATCACGATCGAAGTACTTAATTTCGCGATCCTGCAAAATTGCCGTCAATTTCGTAACTGTCTCGCGTTTACATACCGTCACCGGACTGTACAAAAACAGAACCACGAATCGATATTAACCATCCGTGTCATTTCGCCGTAAATTTGTCGTGAAAACCTGGTATTTTACAACGTTCAAATATATATATTGCTTGATGATATAAATTACATTTTTTAAAGAACTACTAATCTAGAACTGCCTTGCGATCGTTAAAGCATTTCTAATATGATCTTACGTAAGATTCAGATTTGTTGCTTTTCCAGTTACTCAAAGTTTATGCATTTAGCTATATTTACTGAGGTTTTTATTAAACCAGAAACGTAATGTTATGTATCTATCTGCTTTTATGATATTACTTTTAATATGGTAATTAATATATGCCAGATATAATTACAGGTTGGTAGTACGTCCTTTTTATGAATAATGAAACTTAGTTACATATTAGAAACCATTTTTATTCTTCAACATAAAATTGAAACGAGAAATCACACGTATCAATAGTGATTGTTTCACACTTGTTTTTCTCACTGTGCAAAATGAAAGTGCTCAATGATAGGAAGATGTGATTGAGTCGGACATGGTCTAAACGCGATATTCAAAAATATTTATCTCAATACGAGTGATTAGAATTATAGCAAAGTAGAAATTAACGCGAGGCGATGGCGCGACATAGGATCGCCACAGTAGCGTCCGACAATGGGAAATCGTGGAAATACGAGCGCGATTCATTACACGTCGCAATTAACGTTAATTAACCGACATTACGGGTAGCAAATACGCGGCGTAGTGGCAGCAAAAGTGTCAGGAATTTCACGACAGTTCACGGTCGGCTAACGAGAACGAAGTAGTGCGTCGGCGTTACGGAAAGTCGTGGGCGGTATGCAGAATCATTAGCGAGCCAAAGAGGGGAGTAGAGAAGGAGGAGATATTAACATAGGCCGGTGAAAATTCAAAGACTCGTTATCATCAGGCAGCCTTCGTTCCCTGAATTCCACGCGGCGGAATAGGACGACCAAGCCGACCTAGTTCTTTATTTCGCCAGTAATTAACTCGGAAATAGATCGAGCCATGATAGAGCCGTTTAATCGGTTGGTACCGCGGCTTCAACTTCAATAGAAGAGATTATACGCGTGTTGCGAATCGCTCGAACTTTGTACATACAGCCTAGAAATTTATGGCAGTGTAGCAGGACAGCGGACGTTTTGCGTTGAACCACGATGTGCTTTCGAGGGACTGGTCGCATAGCTAATATCGATATTGATATGCAGTTATGTCTTCCGCTGTCTTCAGTCTATTTTTAAACGTAAGCCTAAAGCTATGTCTTTGCCGAAGCAACGATGACAAATATTTTGTCGATTTTCCATGCTTTTTGAGAAAGTTGCTACTTGTTGCCTGTTTCCACTCAAAGCGCTAGAGATTAAGGACAAATAAGAAACACATGAAGCACGTCGCGACAGAAACAAATGTTCCTTCCAAGTATATTTGTTGATTGTTTCATAGCACAACTCGTTACTAGGAACAAATTTCGCTTTGGAACCGCGGAAAAAATTGTTTGAAACATGCGGCAACAACGGCCGAAAAGTTCCTCGTTATTGCTTCAACGAGGGACGCATCTTAGGGAAAATACTATTAATGGATAAAGATAAGCTAATTAGCAAAGACATAGGACGAGATGGACTTAATTAGGCTTAGAGAAGTTACAAGTTTGTTGAACGAATTAGTCGATGAACGCGTATAATTACATATTACTAATTGTCGTTTAAGGGCCAGTAACATGAAAACGGTAATTGAACGTTTCCTTTGTCCACATCCTCATTCAAGGTTGTTTCGCGTTAACTCTAGTACCTATACGTAGACTCGTGAAACCCGAGGCGACTATAAACCGATCACGAACTTTGGAAATAATTGCACAGTTTATGTTTTGCGTGGTAATAGCGTTTATAAGTCGTCGACAGCCATGGTAGTCGATAGTCGACGAATGTCACCGGGAACATGCATGTACCAAGTCTGGCAACGACTCGACGGACGATGAATATTCGCTTTCTGTGTTCGTGTAAATAATTGACGCGTGGAACGCAAATATTAGCAGGGAACGAAGTGAAGTCAGTGAGAAACGCTGTCACGTTTACACGAAGGAATTCCTCTGGATTGGACGGTGCACGTCTTAAGACTCGCGAAATAGGATTGCTTTGTCAATAGAGTAATTACACATCGTTTTCGTAGAGAACAAAATTACTTTAACATCTGTTTATTCTGCTTTGGATAAGAAAAATTGAAAAGACGAACCAACCAAGCTGGTTACCGATTCTAAGGACTCGAGTGTACAAATTAATTAGTCGGAACAACTGTTCAAAATTCTACTGAATAACTGCACGCGAACAAAGTAAATCGGTTTGTCGATCCTGAGAACTCGAGGAAGTCTACGTTATGTAGATGAAGATTTCAGATTCTCGTTGTCGCTCAGTCCGATCTTTTCCACGTAGTCGCTAAACAGAATTTAGAAGAAACAGGCAGTGGCTACTTCGCGATCTCGATTTCGAGAATCCGTTGCGAGGAAACTGAACATGGCGAATGCAGCGACCGCAGGAATATCCATCTAACAGTTGAGTCATCAAAATACTTGGGTGCAAAAATAAAACGAGCCACCGCGGGTCGAGATTGTATCGGGACGACAAACGACTAAGTCAGCTCCCCTTTTCTTTTATCTGATCGCGTGACGTATCGGTACCTTACATGATATTTTTACGTGTCACGTTCGCCTCGTAGGACGACCCTAACCGGTAGCGTGGTGGCTCTCGCGGAAGGCACCGCTGAATCCGTAGGTGGATCGAGATACTTTAAACGGACCAGCGAGGTTTGTTACAGCGTACGTTTATACAGGGTTATCGGTGATCGCTGAATCACCAAGCGAAACGTACCAGGCTTCTTTGTCTCGGAACAAAAGTTACGGTTGAAGAGATTGTGGTACGATCGGCCACGGGGTTACCTGTGAGTAAATAGGTCGAACTGTAATACAATGTACTTTCCTATGAGACATCGTCGCGAAAAACTCATATGCTCTCATCGTATTAATTTCAATTCCATAAAATTAAATTATAGTATTTCAAAATAGACGAAGAACGAGAAGGAAAAGAAATTTAGTTTCAATGACTTCTATTACAGAATCATATAGTTACTATTTGCTGAATGGGAAACTATAAGATAAACAAATTTTAATTATATGCATCGAACGAATATACGTACACGTAAAATTCTTAACGCGGAGACGTATTTACACGGCGATCTGACAGTCGATCGACGTAGTTGACGTAGTAGTCGAGACAAAATACGAGCTTAGTTTATATGAACGTAAGACAGAAAAGAATTTGTGTTGTGGTACACGTCGATTTCGCGTCAAATTATCGATACTCTGCACAACTACCTAGCGGCGTTTCTCATGTATCCGTGTGCTGCTGCAAATTGGCAATAGGTACATACGAGACGGGTTGTCGCCGGTACGAGGCTTCGAACCATTGTTATTTCTACCGACAGCCATGGCGGATTAATCGAATGAGCATCAAATTAAGCGATGTTCCGTTGTAACAGGCTTACATGGAAGAGGGCTTCGATTGCATATTAATATTGCGCGGCTGGCCTCGCCTTTGCTTTAGTATGCAGACGGTCTCATCAGCGGTACGTGAAATTAAACTTGACTACGTCGTAGACGACACAGATGTAGCCAAGGGAGCAGAGGTTCTTACGAGGTCTCTCTTACTTACGGGACGGTAATTTTAGCGCATCACTCTTGTATGTGCTTGTAATTAGTTCATTAACGAATGTGTACGTGGGCCGTATGGTCATGACAAGGAGAAACGAGTGACGTTTCGGCGTGCATTGAAATATGTATTTTTCATAATTAAGCTTGTTTACCTGGACGAGCGCGAGTTGCACGAAGCGGAGTTATGCAAACCAGTAATTATTTCGTTAGCCATGGTGTGCTGTCGCAAACGAACCCTGACGACCGAGGCAGAGTTTCTAACGCGAGAATACAGAGTTCTCTCTGGCGTGCGGAGATTCTCCGACTCACGCAGAAATGTAAATATTCCTGGAAGACGTTTCGCGTAAGACGTATATTTACTTATGTAGCGTCGTGAAGTGTCGTGGAAGAAAACGGAACAGAAATCGAACAGAAACGATAGAAGTTGTGTAAACGGTAGCCTGTGTTGACTTTTCAGTCGAGACAAATAAATATCCAACAATTGGATCTACGACCCAGTTTTACGTATGCTCGCGGGTCGCGCGGTCAAAGTGAATGCTGTCTTGGTCCTTTGCATGCGATAAATTTCCCGATGAGCGGCAAGCGCGACACGGCGCAGCGGGACGTGCTGGAGTCAACGAGCGGCGAACTCCTGCGTCGGATGTCGACGATAGAAACCGCAAAAGTTCTACGGCACGTAGCAACTGGGTTCCCCTTTGAGAAGGAGCAGCAGTCGGGCAAGGATTTTGCGGTTGGGTAGTATTATGCAACCCAGACCTGACTGGCAATGGAACCGACGTCACTGGCAGTTTCCACTTTGCAAGATTCGTAGTCCGGTTTTTCCATGTTCCTGTTTCACTCTCTTTTTCACGTGATATCCTCTCTAGTGTGGCGACGGAAAATCGGCACGAATTGTAAAGAGGAAGAGAGAGAGAAAGGAATGGATACAGAAGGATTGCGGTGAACCAGAAAAAAGAGAGAAACGCAG